CAGTCGGCAGGATTGCCGCTGAAAGTACAGTGCGCATTGCTCGCCCAGCTTTAGATCAAAGTAACCGTGAGAGTCACGCAGGGCTTCTTTTCAGGATCTGCGCAAAGTGCATCGTGATCTTGAGCCGCATAAGTGGCAAAGTTGGGGTATGGAGATAACTTGCTCAACAAACAAACAAGCAAACACACAAACAAACAAACAAACAAACAAACAGCACGACCGACCAAACAAACAGCCAAACAGACAAACAGACAATAAAGACATAGAAACAGAAACTCACAAAGAAACAAACAGACGGTCAGACGCACAACAACGACAGGCCAACAGACAAACAGACAAGCTGACAAACCGACAAAAACAAACAACCAGACATACAAGCAAGCTTCAAGCAATTAGATGAAAAATCAGCCAAACAAACGCAAAGAAACAATCGTACAATACAAAGCACAGCAAAACACAACACACAACACAACAGAACACAACACACTGAGACAAAACACAACCAACACACAGCACACACACACACAGCGCAAGCAAGCGGGCAAGCAAGCAGGCAGTCAGGCGGGCAGGCAAGCGATCAAGCAAGCAAACCAACAAACCAGGAATTCAGCAAGTACACGAACAAACGGAACACACTCACATGTCTATGTCTGTGCATGCACCCCATTTTACTCGAATCGGTGAGTGACTAGATGAGCAAAAGATGAATGTCTGTATACATCGAAGTATTCACACATGCATGCACGCGTGCATGTGCACATCTGTTGCAGGCAGCATGAAGTAAGGGGCTGAGCGCTTTTGCAGGTACCAGTTTGGCGGAAGCAGCCAGATTTGCCATCGGAGAGCTGCCTGCCCAGGAAGCTTCGTGATCAAGCCTATCTCTGTCCGTCCTGTTTTGTACTTGGCACCACGAGTGTTTAATTACGTGTGTATGAACCTAACGTACAAGCGCACGCGGCTGCCCTCTGTAGATGTTTGTATGTTATATATACATATATATATATACATATACATACATACATGCCAAATTCTGGTGCGTGCATGAAGGTATGTGTGTATGCTTTTGAGGGAACGTGCAAACATCCTCACGTGCTCCGTGTATACTCGTCAGTGTTTGTGGCCTTGCAGAAAACACATGGGTTTCTCATCGTTAATTGCTAACAGCCCAGAGCATTGGTGATGTCCATGCAGTCTCTCGTTACTGAGGTTCTACTCGAGCGACAGAGCAGTCCACCCCGACTCCTTCTCGTGAGTCCTCCCAGGCATGTCCTGATTGCAATGGAAGTATTGAGTCTTCCCGGCTTCCCCTCGACTTTGCAACTAGTTTGAGGTTCCCGGAACTCAGCAGTCAGCTTTAGCGAGAGACTGGCCTGGACTGAAGCTTGCCCTGCAATGCCGTATCCCATTTTGCATTTTGCAGGTGCCTCGGCCCCCACTGCACAAGTCGCCCACATCACCAGTTCTCAGCAATGGCATGCGTGGGCCTCAGCCCTGGTCACTGCTTCGATCAGCAAGCTTGGCATTGATCCTGCCTCCTGCTGACAGCTAATGAGTAGCCGTGCTGCTCTTGCTTAGTACTCACTGGCAGTGTTGTTGTCCTTGGTCTGCAACACTGGTCCTCATGTCGTGAGTGAGTACGTCACCGGGAGACCCCCCAAATGCTTAATAGTGTCAATGACAAACAACATCCATCTGCTTGGCAGCGATGCTCAAGCATTCGCAGTGTGCTTTGCCGGCATCTACAAGGGCAGACTCGTTGCCGTCGTTGGGTGGCTTTGCTGTCAGCTGGCTCAGACACACTGGCCATCCCAAAGAAACCCGACAGCGGCTGCTTCCTGCTTCAACATCACAACAGCATGACCGCAGCTTGCTTTCTGCGACTGGGTAAACTGTGAGCTTGATCTTCAGCGGGCATCATCGCGCAACCTTTAAATGTCCGTTAGCCTTGTGCACATGATCTCGACGGGACTTTAATACCGCTTCACTTGGCATGGAGTCATCTCAGCTCGCCGCAAGTGGAGCTCCGCCAGATGTTCGATTCTGGAGAGGCCGGAGCTTGGCAGGTGCATAGCGTTTCGTCTCAACAGACTGTTTAGAAGTACTTGAGCAGCGACGCATTTGTGCTTGCTGGAGTGAGTTGCAGGCAGGGACATGCGCTTGGAGCCTGCCGAGGGGCCTGTTGGTCTCAGCTATGAGGTGCAGCATTGCAGCTATTCCCCACTACCTGGTGTAACAGGATGTCACCGGTGTGGGGACAGGTGACGACTACAACTACGACTACCACTAGCAAACTAGTACTCGCATGTTAGTCAGTACCAATTGCCAGAGAGTCCACCACCACCACCGATACCGCTGCCACCACCAAGACCAGAAAGAACAGCACGACTGCCATTATTATTCCTGCTGCTACTACTACTAGTCATTACTAATCAGCCCCCGCGTAACCCTGAGCTCATTCCTTCGCGGCTGCCTACATCACTTGGTTGCTTCACCTGTCAGCTTGGACACCTTGCGTCGCTGCTCTTGGTTGTGGTCCTCATCGGCCTTGGTATGGCAGCACGTCATGCCCGGTGCTTGGGATTGGGAATCTTAGGCTCAGGGCTCTCAAGCACACAGGTTCGTGCAGGGGGACGGTGCAGGGGATTACGTTTGATTTTCCCAGGCATCTAGGTTTGAGGGCAAGGAGTAGCCAAAAGCTATTTGGGGTGTTTGTACCTACTTCAGTCAAGGCCCTAAGTCTTATTCGCCAAGGCATCACAGCACTTGCTGCTACCTGTGATGGTGACCACAGTCTACACTGTGCAAGAGGTATGAGTTCAATCACATAGTAAACGCAGGTGTTGTGTTTTCCTCTTCATCTACGTGTATAGAGACATACGTGTATATATAAGCAACAAACAGTTGCATACAGCTGCATGCATGTGCAAACAACTAAAATACATAGAACAATATGTGTATATATATATACACATACATATACACATAAACAAAGATGTATACATATGTATTTACATTATAGATCGCTTTCGAGTTGACCGACCCTTCGGAGTTAACCCGAGTCTGCTGTTACCCTGCGTGTCCGCTTAGTTATGGCATTCCGTTACACAGCGTCTACTGTTAGACGGCCTGCTGTTACACAGGTTCTTCTGTTGGGCAGGGGGGTTAGGAGTGCATGTTTTGACTTATGTGTGTGCGTGTATGCATGCATGTATGTCTGTATGCATGGATGGGCGTATGTATGTATGCATGCATGCATTCATGTATGTATGTCAATGTGTACATATATATATATACATACACATGTACGTGTTATATCTGACATTGTACTGTATTACATTATGTTAAACTATACGATATTCTATTGATATTTGTTGTTCCTATATCTGTATCTATGTTCATGCTTGTTTTTATTTTCGCTTTTGTTAATATTCTGTTCTGTCTATTCTGGCAATGCCTTTTGTATTTGGAAACAAAGGTCACATGCTGTTGGGTTACATTATATTGTACTCTTTTGTATACTACACTGTGTTGCAATATATTGTGTTATGCTATACTATATATATATATATGTTTATTTAATATGTGTATATATATAACACATGTATATATATATACACATATTCACACACACACACATATATATATATATGTATGTATATATATATATATATTGTTGTACATTGTGCTATGATATGTTTCCGGACACCATACCATGAGAACATCTATATATATATGTGTTATATCATCTGAAATGTTATTCATTGTTGGTATTGTATTGAAGCATTGTGTCATCTTGCACTATATTTGCTAAATGTCTGTTACATCAGATTGTATTAGATTAACTATTGCATCATCTTGTGTTCTGGTGTATTTTTTGGAAAATCAAACTGTGTTGCTTTATCTTTCATTGCTGTTTTTTCATGTTTTTTGAACCAACTACATGGTTGGTCGTCTGGCGTTCCCGGTCCCCAGAGATTCGTCGGCGTAGGGGGTGGGGAGAGCTCCGACGGGGCTGAAATCCTCGTGATTGTCTCTCTCACCCTCTCTATATCTCTCATAGAATTAAGACATACGATAGATCCGCACAGGCATACACGAAACATGTATGTATCCACACATGTAGACGTGTGTTTTTGTTCGATGCGGTGTAGACGCGCCTCTAATCCACTTTTTTGCGCATACACATGCATACATAGGTACATGCCAACATACCTACATACCTACATGATCCTACACGCCTACATGCCTACATACCTTCGTACATACATACCTGCATACATACATTATTACATACGACGTGCACAATACATAGATGCTTACACATTATGCTGCAATTGCTGCAGCGTTGCGTACGTACACATAAAAGGATGCCCATACACATGCTTTGTTCAAATGAAGTCAGGCATGTCTGTAGAAGAGACTGGATGACAGAATAAGAGTAGGTCGCGGTCAGTTTGAGGTCGCCTGGTTTACAGTGGAGCGGAGCGAACTACTGCGGTATGTGACCTTCAAGGTGCGTTGCGGGGGTTTGAGAGCGTCGAGGAACAGGGGAAGCAGCGAACCTCCTTTGCCCTCTTGTTTCAGGTTCTGTTCCCACTTTACCTCCTTCGACAGCTGTGGGTCATCAACCTCAGCTTTGGACTAGCAGCTCGGGTGATTGAGACTTCCTGCAGTTCATCTGAACGATGAGATCTGCACCCCAAGCATGGACACCAGGGCTCTCATGCAGAAGCCTGCATTGGGCCAGGTAAGTCTCCTGCCTGTGAGCCTTGCAGTTCACATCCTGTGGTTCTTTCTGCAACTTGCCTTAGAATGTTAGAAGATGTCCTCAATCGCAGGCAGATGACAAAGATTGGTTCAAGTTCTATGTCGTTCTTGTGGCTGGTGTCATCACTGTGTGCTGATAAGGAGCCAGCAGCTTTCTCGATTCACGCCTGAGGCAAGAGCCGTGAATGCTTTGAGGTGCGTTTGCATGTGTGTTTCTGCAATCCTGCTAGCTGTGTCAATCTGGACATATGTATGTATGTATGGATGGATGGATGTATGCATGTATGTATGTGTGTATGTATGTATGTATGTATGTATGTATGTGTGTGCGTATGTAGCTTTCATGTTCATACAAGCTCATGATGTGTGCATGCATGTATGCATGTATGCACGCACGAACGTATACACGTATGTCTTTGTCTGTCTGTCTGTCTGTCTGTCTGTCTGTCTGTCTGTCTGCACTTACGTACGTATGCAGAAATGTATACTACATTGCCAGAAAAAAACATATCATACACCGACACATACCTCTGTCTCTATGTACCTGACGAATTCTCTGCGTATCTGTCTTTCTATCAGCTTGTCCATGTGTTATCCGTTCTCAAGCTCTCCTCGCACTCGGTCAGACATCTCATGCACATGCTTTCCCATGCTAGGCTTTGCGATGCTACGCACAAACGTGGCTATAGTCGCAGTACAGATATGCACGCGCTAGCATTACACGGACAAGTCTAGACAGGTAGGGAATGCAGGGCATCGATACACAGATATTCCCACGCATGGTTGACACGATGGGTTCATTACGCCCACGGGTGCCATTGTGGATAGTGTACACAGTATATGTACCTATAGCAGGTTGTTCGTACATGGATCCACGTAGATAGTGATGCAACATATTCGCGTGAGTTCACATTCATAAGTGCATATATGTACCTTTCCGTATATGCATACACCAATGCACAGTTGGTCATATTTAATGTACGGTGCACAGCGTATGCTGCGCAGGCATCCGAGGTGATGGAAAAAAGCGGACGGCCGTATGCCACTCTTGTTGGCTGGGCCGTGCTCATGAGCCAAGGCCAGCAAGTAAGAGCGAGGCAGAGGGAGCGAGATTTGCATGCAGAGGAAGTCACTTCATTCCAGCTGTGTTCAGGAGAGAACATGGCCTTCACCTACCCCTTGATTGCCGAGGTCTCTGGTAGTATTTGGCATCATGCAACTGTTGCAGATCCTTCTGATTGGTGCAGGCTTCCCTCCCGGATGGTCTAGCAGTTGCTGTGATGTGGGACTTGGGTGCCAACGTCTGGCTCCTCGGCGAAGACTTCTGCAAGGCTATGTTCCCGACCCATTCTCGTTCGCTTGACTTGGCCTTTCGTGCTCGAGCTGGCTTCGATCACCCGGCGGAGCCAACCAAAGGATGTACGGCTCCGCCAGCGACCAACTAAAAGGTTTGCCAGTCTCGAACATGCACAACTTGTACTTTTCCCCGTTCAGCTTGGTGTTGACAGACGCAGCTTGCAAGTGGCTCGTATAGATTGCTCGTGCCGCCCCTCAAGACATGTCGCCGTGGATGCAGCTTCCCTGTGTCGTGCACGTATGCTGTGAGATTCATCAAAAGTTCCGGGTTTGCATGTAACGGAGGCATGTGGTTTCAGGTGCTGAGATGACACTGGCACCGTGTCTGTTTCAGAGCTTATGCCACGTTCTAACCAAGCCATTTGGACTATTCACAAAGCATATGTCGGCATCACGTTCATGCTTCTCGTCAAGCATCCCTGCCTCCCCACAGAACCACGGAGAACATCCAAGAACAAGTCAAGGCCGAATCCTCGAAACATGCCACAAAGTTGGCAAGCCGGAACAGGGCTGAAGATTTGTTCGCCAGGTCGCTAGGTGTTGCCCTGACAAGCAAGCCGCAGGGTTCGGACTGAGATATGATATAGTAGTTCTGCAGGCGAAGTCTTTGTGTCTTCAGATGATGTTCTCATTCACCGCATCTGGCCGCACCCGTACTGTCCTGAGGTTATGTCAGGGTCTCCTCTGGGGCGTGGCGGCAATTTACTCACCTCAGGTTCAGGCCAGGGTTGCAATTGGCCAAGGGTGCCCATGTGCATGGGATCTGCCCCGGAGGCCTCTGCTTATGCGCCGATTGACCAGCCCGGTGCCGTCCTGTTCTTGCACTTGCATCGAAGCGTTCGCACCTACATGCCGGCTTGTCCGTCCACTGTTCATTGTTCCAACGCGAACTTGAGAGACGTGCGACGCACTGTGTGCATTTCTGTCACAGGTCTCGATTATGCTTTCTTTGCATATGTACTGCTTGTGCGTATGCCTGCAAGTCTGCGATGTGAGATTGTTACGAGGTGAAGGCGAAGATCTGCCAGACATGTTTCTGGATGATCTGCCGCTCGACCGAGCGCGAAAAGGCAGAATTCCTCGTTTTTCTGGAAGACTGGAACGGCTCGGGGTCTGAGCAGACAGCAGACGCCCTCCGCCCGGCCGTCCCTCGGCTCCCTCCCGGCTCCGTGCACCGCCTCAGGAAAGTTCGGAGGCTGGGCTTTTTCGCGGGCCTGCCAGCCGGAGCGAAGGCCTGAAGTATCAGTCGTTGCACAGTTTGCCTGCGAGTGGGTGCAGGACATGGCGATGCAGGCCGTGATCAGCTCCGTTCTTCTCCGCGCATGCCTTGTGGGCATCGGCTCCTTAGCTCACCTGAGATTTGGGCAGAGCATGAAGAGCGTCCGCTTCCACCAGCCTTCCATTTTGGCAGGCTTGAACCTCATCCAACTACCACTTCCGGGGCCACCTGGCTGGAATCAGACAATCTTCGAAGCATGGAAGTCAGCTGCCTCGTTCTTTCGAGGATTTTGGATGATGGACTGCGGTATGTTGGAAGCCTCTGCAAGGCGACGCTGAGACCGGCAAGCGAAGCACCGAGATTTGGCACCCCATCTTGTAGCTGCAAATGCTGTACATCAGCTAGTCTGGCACAACACGCACTTCTTCAAATCGGCAGAGTGTATCATTGCAACAGCAGTCCACTTGAAGTCAAGTGACATGCGGCTTCTCGCTTGAGTACACAGTGTGCAACGTACCCTTCCAGTTAGTCCTATGGTCACTTACTAGTGGTGCTTTTTCCCTGTCTGGTCTTGGCGCGTCTTGTTGCCACCTTGTGCTCAAAGCGTGTCTCTGGCATCAGTGTGCAATCGTGGGAAACAAAGTAAGCCCTGTCTTACACCTCTCGCAGCTCCGAGGCTTGGGAATGGCAGCATCCGATTGGGCAAGATCATCGTTGTATCGATTTGTTTGTTTATCATCGGTGTCCAGAGGTCGATACATGAACATGTGCCTTTCGACACGCTGCACTGCAAAGGTTCTGAGATGCTCCCATCTTTTTTGGCACAACCTGTTCTGATGGCGTTGTACCGAAGTATGTGGTTTTGCTTGCTTGGTCCAGAATCCAAGAAAGGTAAGTCGTGAGCCCTCTCGAATGTTTAGGTAGTTGATCTGACGACAGCAGCAGCTCAGTTCGTAGCAGAGGCATCTTTGTATGAGAAGGCCACCAAGCTTCGAGAATGTCCAGTCACAAGTCGTGCTGGAAGGTGATGCTATACTTTTTGGTGGGCTTGTACGCAGACTTCAACTTGTCGGCGAATGACTTTAAGCCCCGAGCCTGACTTCTGACACTGGTTGACACAAGCAGAGCGCATCCGCACAAGCACGCGCACCCATTGCATCTGTCCTTCGTGTGTTTTACACACACAATATATATATATATACATATATATATATAGAGGTATGCGTGCTACTAATGCACGCATACCTATATGTGCATACGAAAATGTTCTCTGCGTGTGTGTGTTTACACAGGAGTATATGTATGGCATTATAGCTAGATGTGTTTAATACCTGTATACAAACATGATCATATATGTAGATGTATATGTGTATATGGATATATATATATATATATGTATATATGAATATATGGTCATATATATATAGAGATGTATATGTATGTATGTGTATACATACATATATTTATACCTACGTGCAGCTGCATACATCTACTCGCATACGTTTGCGTCTACCCGCTTCTATATCCGTGTATGGGTAAACAATCTGCTTGTTTTTGTTTTCTTATATGTATTTAGAGATAACTTGCTTGTGTTTCTTTGCCGGCGTGGTTGTTTTTTTTGTTTGTTTGTCCTCAAGTGTGAGCTCATGTATGTATGTATGTATGTAGAT